TCAGTACGTTCTCGACATTATTGAAGGGGCTCTTCAAAAAGTAATGGATTATGAAAACTGCATACATGGATTTCAAAAATATTAGGTTGTTGGAAAAGTCATGACATATTTCTTCATTTTTTTACGCAAAACTGCGGCATAACTTTTCTGACTACCCAATATTTTGTATAAACTTATGCTTCAATGATGCTTCTCATGAACTTTTTGAAGACCCCTTATATATAGGAAAAATAGGAAGCAATCTAAATGTCCATCCTAGAGGTTGGTTAATTAAATTATTACATGCCCTCATTAGCATGAGGAATTGCTAATAATGATAGGCTGCTATTTTTATAACCATATTTATAGTTATATAAAACTATAACTGTCATATATTGTTTAGAGATTATACATACATACATATATACACATTCTGGCTGATATGATCATGAGTGATTTCATTTTATTTAGACTTTACATTTTTTTCACATTTTTGGTAATCATGTATGAGGGGACTTCAAAAGGTTCATATAAAAAATGGAATGAAGGGGCCAACAGATGGCATAATGGTTATGTTGCTGGATTCTCGTGTAGTCGTCCCAGACCTGGCGACCTAAACTCATGCTGGGTATGTGTGCGTGCATCCCCAAGATCCTGACAGGAGAATAAAGAAGAGACTGCAGCGTGGCCATTCTCCCTGGGGAGTGATTTCTCACTTTCTGTCTCTGTCTCTTTCTGTCTTTCTAGTGAGTGCATGTGCACTGTAGCAAAAATCTCTCTTAAAAAAAAAAGGGATTGGGAACCAGCAGTTAGCGTAATGGCTATGTCGCTGGACTCCCACGTAGCCAACCGCGGTTCGCGTCCCGGACCCGGTGGCTTAAAACTCACGCCAGGCGCGTGTGCGAGCGTGCCCAAGATCCCGAGAGGAGAATGGAGGAGAAGGGATTGTGGCGTGACCATCCCCCCTGGGGGGTGATTTCTCGCTTTCTGTCTCTAATGTCTCTCTCTGTCTGTCTGGCGAGCGCACACGCCCTATAGTGAAAATCTCTCAAAAAAAAAAAAAAAAGGGATTAAAGTGTGAGTTTATTTTGGTGCAAAGAATTTTGAAATCCATGCATAGTTTTTCATAATACACATTTTCATGAACTTTTGACAATTCCTTTTATTACTTTTATAACAGAAAAAAATTAAATTTTTTTAAAAAAGGTGAAAGCTTTTCAGTACTACCTTCAGATCACCTTTTAAGTGCTGTGGTTAGAATTATTCTAGCTCTGAGTATTACAAGCAAACCAGTCTAAGCTTGTCTGTCAGGTTTAGATCATAATCCATTGGAATTCCTGAAAGGAATTATTTCACAATTTCTTCACTTAGAGCAGCAGCATTTTACATTTACACATTGTTAATTGACATAGCAATGGAACATACTCTGACTTGAATTAAATTTACATCCATATGCTTGGGTTTCAGTAAGATAAAATGCAAAATTTTCTAATCATAACTGTTCTAATGCATCATCATGGAATCTCAATAAAATGCTTGCTTTGGAAAAGGGAACTCTTACTGGCAAAAAGTGATTTTCTTTTTTAAAAAAAGAATTATTCATTTCATTTTATTTGTTATTATCATTTTTTAATTTGACCAGAGAGAGACAGAAGGAGAGAGAAGGGGAAAGCGAGAAAGCAAGCTGCCAGGTTGGGACTCAAACCATGGTTGGCCACTGTGGGAATCCAGCACCTTTAACCAATGAGCCACCTGTTGGTCCCCTGGCAAAAAGAGATTTTAAAAATATTCTTAAACCTAGTTATTTAGTTTTGTATAAATGAGACTGACTAAAACATTTGAAGCCAGAGTGAATTAAATGCCAGGCATACATATGTTTTACTGCTGACTGGGAGGAAAACATGGAACTTATAAGATTTTTTTTCCCTCCAATATGAAGGTTTTTGGTGCAGTAATCTCTCTTGATGATTTTTATTTATTTATTTTTAAAGAATTATTTTATTTATTTTATGTGTTATTATTGAGAAATTTCTGCTATAGGGCACATGTGCTCACTGGGGAGAGAGAGAAAAAAACAGAGACAAAAAATAAGAAATCACCCCCTGGGAGGATGGCCACACCTCAATCTCTCTCCTCTATTCTCCTCTCAAGATTTTGGGCACACACACACCACAGAAGTTTTAAACTACCCAGTCTGGGACTTGAACCACAATCAACTTGTGTGGGAGTCCAGCACCTTAACCACCATGTCACCTCTGGTCCCTTGAAACTGTATTTAGACTAGATGTTTAGGCCTCTTATCATTCAAGTTTATTAATCATATTATTATTTAATGCTTACTGATATTAAAACAATAATATGGTAAGACCTTACTCTTAGATAGTAGTTTATGAAATGTATGTAAAAAAGAATGTGCTGATGGGAACCAGCAGTTAGCGTAATGGTTATGTCACTGGACTCCCACGTAGTCGACCGCGGTTCGTGTCCCGGACCCAGTGGCTTAAAACTCACGCCGGGCATGTGTGCGTGCGTGCCCAAGATCCCGAGAGGAGAATGGAGGAGAAGGGATTGTGGCGTGACCATCCCCCCTGGGGGGTGATTTCTCGCTTTCTGTCTCTATGTCTCTCTCTGTCTGTCTGGCGAGCACACGCGCCCTACAGTGAAAATCTCTCAAAAAAAAAAAAAAAAAAAAGAATGTGCTGAGTAGTTATAAACAAGGACTTTTTGACATGTTTCTGTGTATGCTTCATTTGACAAAAATAATTTATATATATTTCAGAGTTACATATGGTTATATATGCCTGTGACATATTTTATTAGGCAAATAATAAAGTTAAATATGAATAAACCAAAAGAAGAATCTTAAAATAATAAGTAATCCTATTTTTTATAAACAATTACTTTTTGTATATTCTGTGTGTTTAAAATACAAATTTGTAGTACGCTCTGCATACTTTTCTAAATCTGTTGTTTTCACTTAGTGCATATTGAGAATCTACATTAGTTCATTGATTCTAAGCATATTAATATTTTCTTTTTCACACTTAAAAAATTTGGAAATCAGGATACATCTTACTATCAGTGGAATCTTAGATTTGTCAAATATAATAAATACATAGTTTCTGCATGTGTGCAGATAAACATACTAATATGTCTATAAAAGAGAAAGGGTGTACAGGAGTGAGGGAGGGAGAGAGGGAAAGGTATTTTTGACAGTGTCTTACCATATTCTGATCCTTCCTGCCCTAGTCTCCCAGTTCACAGGTGCACGTTCAAGTATTTGATCCATCTAGAATTAATTTTGGTGTAGTACGTTAGGTATAAATTCAACTTTATATACTTTTCCTAACTGACAACTTAGTGTCTCAGTTGTCTCTTCATTTATACATAAGTGTTAGTGGAGTGTCTATTTATGGACTTTCCTATCATTAAAAAAAAAAGTTGTATGAGTATTACACATGAATTCTATCTCATTGTAAAAAAAAAATTGGATCAGTAGTGAAATGTAGAGTTAAAGGGCATTTCACTTCCTTCCACCTATTCCCTCGTATTTTTCCTGAGAAAATGACTTATTAACAGATTACTGTATGTTCCCTTTAGATCTTTTTCTTTTCTTTTTTTTTGGAGAGGTTTTTGCTACAGGGCGTGTATGCTCGCCAGATAGAGACATAGAGACAGAAAGCGAGAAATCACCCCCCAGGGGGGATGGCCATGCTGCAATCCCTTCTTCTCCATTCTCCTCTCAGGATCTTGGGCATGCATGCACATGCACCCAGTGTGAGTTTTAAGCCACTGGTTCCGAGACGCAAACTGTGGTCGACTACATGGGAATCCAGCGAGATAGTCATTACCCTAACTGCTGGTCCCTAGATCTTCTTTTTTTGAGAAAGAGATTTTTGCCATATGTGGTGCATGCGCTCACTGGACAGACAGCAAGAAATCACCCCTCAGGAGGGATGGCCATGCTACAATCCTGTCTCCTCCATTCTTCTCTCGGGATCTTGGGCATGCACACATATGCACCCAGTATGAGTTTTAAGCCTCCAGATCCTGGACTCAAACTGTAGTTGCTATGTGGGAGGGCAGCAATGTAACCACTATACCATCTGCTGGTCCCCCTTTTAGATCTTTTTTTATTTGTGTGTCTACATGCTCATGCACATGTGTATGCACACCCAGAGTATATGTATTTTATTTTTTAAATAATTATTTATTTAATTCCATTTGTTGTTATTATTATTATTATTAATTTGACCAGAGAGAGACAGAGAGAGAGAGAGAGAAAAGGGAAAGTGAGAAAGCAAGCCGCCAGGTCTGGGATTCAAACCATGGTCGGCCATGTGGGAATCCAGCACCTTTAACCACCATGCCACCTGCTGGTCCCCACAGTGACTACATTAATAATATGCTGCAAATTGCTTTTTTCCTCCTATTAACTCTTTTGTCTTAGAGTTCCATGATGGATAGTCCATACAGTTATACCTTATTATCTTTTTTTGGTGTGCATGTGTGGTAGAAGGCATATGTACTTGCCCTAGACAGAGAGAGATGAGGAAAGGAGAAAGCACTCTCCATGTTGCAATCCCTCCTTTCTGTCTATCCCTCCTTTCTGGATTTTGGGCATACATACACTCATGCCTGGTGTGTTTCTCAAGGCTCGGGGTCTGAGACTCAACCCATGTGGTCAGCCATGTAGGATCTGCCTGCTTTAACCTCCAAGCTATGAAACCAGCCAATTGCTCATTATTCTTTTTAACTAATGAATGGATTCCATAGTGTGAATGTATCATACTTTATTTAACCATTATCCTATTGTTACACACCTGAGTTATTGGCAATTTTTTTTCTCCTCATTCTGTCAAGACTCTATATATACCTATGGCTTATGAAGTGTGTAGCATTGTTTATTAATTCAAAAAGTACTTAAGTTATTATGTACTTCATGATGAAGAAAATCTGGACCATGCTGTGTGAATTGTTATTAATATCAATACTTTGTGATGATCTTGTTTTCTAGATAAAGTTTGATTCTGGGACCCTCCTTCTTAGTACACACCGACTCATTTGGAGAGATCAGAAAAATCATGTAAGATACAGTTTTTTGCATCTATTGTAGGTTTTATTGTCATTGAAGCTTTTTCTTTTATTTTAAATTTCTAGGAAAATTACAAATGGATGCAATAATTTTTTTTTTTTTTTAAGAATGTCAAAAGACATGTTCCATATGATTTGTCTGGATTGTAGAGGACAGGAGTTAGGGTACTATCCTTCATTCAGCGCCAGAAAAGTTTAGGTAGTTACTGGATGGAGAATGTGGTGACTCCTGTTTTTTTTTGTTTTTCATTTAGAGAAAGATTTTTGCCATAGGGCACGTGAACTCACCAGACAGACAGAGACAGACAGAGAGATGGAAAGTGAGAAATCACACACACACAAACCCCCTACACCTCACGGGGAATGACCACACCACAATCCCCCTTCTCCTCCATTCTTCTCTGAGGATTTTGGGCATGCATGCATGCACAAGTGCCTGATGTGAGGGTTTTTTTTTTTTTTTCCTAAGAGGTTTTTTGTTTTGTTTTGTTTTGTTTTGTTTTGTTTTGTTTTGTTATAGGCACATGCACTTGCTGGAGAGACAGAGAGACAGAAAGTGAGAAATCATCCCTCGGGGGGCAGGGGAGATTGCCACACTAGTCCCTTCTACTTGATTTTGGATACTCAGGCACATGTGCCTACCATGAATTTTAAGCCTCAGGGTCCGGGACTCAAACCTCAGTCAACTATGTGGGAGTCCAGCAATGTAACCATTTTGCCATCTGCTGGTCCTTACTCCTAGTTTTAAAACACTAGTCAGATCCTACTCATAATTGAATATTCAATTTGTAACAGGGAAGTAATTTTCCCATCAGTTGGGGGGGGTCTTTTAAAAAGTCTCATATGTTCTTAAAACAGCTGGTTCTTGCAGGTTGTCATTGAGAATCAGCAGGATAGGTCTGCTGTGAGTGCATGCTTTTACCTAAGGATGTTAAGAACTTCCTTGGAGTTACTCAAGAGTACTGTCCCCTTTCCTCCACAAACCATTTCAATTACTAGGCAGGGACAGCAAGTTACACATATATAGAACTGATATTTTTATACCAGAGAGCTCCAAATTGAAAGTACATAAACATTTATTTCAGTGTAGCCAGTAAGATAAGCTATTTCATCTCATGTTTTTATTTTTCTAACCCCCCCTGCAATCAAATTTTAATACTACAGATAAACTGCGTACTGTTTTTTCACCCTTGTAAAACTGCTAACTACACAATATCTGGCTTTCTTGGTCCCCAGGAACAAATCTTTGAGGTGATAGTGCACCTGTTGATAATTTATGCCTTAGACTGTTGATGTTTCTAATAAGCTAAGTCATCTTGTTTTCTATTGATTTCCTCCTAGGAGTGCTGCATGGCCATTCCTCTTTCCCAAATTGTGTTCATTGAAGAACAGGCAGCTGGAATTGGGAAGAGGTCAGGTCTATATATTTGTCTTTATTCACACAAAAAAACAGTTTATGGGGACCAGCAAGTGGCATGGTGGTTAAGGGGCTGGACACTCTCACATGGTCAACCACAGTTTGAGTCCTGGACCTTGTGGCTTGCTTTCACACTTTCTCTCTTTCTGTTTCTCTCTCTCTGTCTCTCTCTGGTCAAATTAAATAAATGAATGAATAAATAAAATTAAATAAATAATTAAAAAACCATTTTCTGTCATGCTCTTGGTCAGGAAGCCCTTTATGCAGGTAGTGTCCTACCTTAGCATCATTGATGTATGAAGTCATTCTTAAAGCAGGATTTAAGGTTTACTCTAATATCCTCATATACGTGACCTTATTGTATAGGGTCATAATAAGGAAGTGTGACTCAGCTATCAGTATATATACTGCCATAGATACTTTGGTTTTACATGTCTATACATGTATCATTAGTACATAAAATCAAAACTAATCCATCTAAAAAAAATTACTGATTTTGTTCCTATGTCTAGCTGATCATTAAGTTTATATCTGAAGTTTGACTTGTTCAGATTGCAGGAATAACCAGAATAGCTGAATAGTTATTGTCCCAAATAGGACATTTATATGAGTAATAGAGGATGTGATTAATAATCAAGCCAAGGCAGTAAGCATAAAATGAGGCTTTCCCAGGCAAACCAGGAGATGCAGCCACCGTGGTACAGAGATGTATGTTTAGATGTTCCTGTTTATTCAAGTATACTAAAAATTGGACTCTTTGTTGTAAGTCCATGTAATTGAAGAGACTGATAAATATTATTTGATGAAAAATCTTTTTCTATATAGGCCCATCTTTAGGTTTAGCATAAATAGATACTTCATTATAAGTTAAAATACTGAACTTTGGGGGACCAGCAGGTGGCGTGGTGGCTAAGGCACTGGGCACTCTCACATGGCCAACCATGGTTCGAGTCCTGGACCTGGTGACTTGCTTTCTCATGTTCCCTCTCTTTGTCTCTCTCTGGCCAAATTAAAAAAATAAGTAAATGGATAAATAAAATAAATAATTGTTAAAAAAAAATACTGAGGGCCAGCAGATGGCATGGTGGTTAAGGGTGCTGGATTCCCACATGACCGACTGCAATTCGAGTTGTCCCAGACCTGGCGGCTTGCTTTCTCACTTTCTCTCTCCCCCCTCTCTGGTCAAATTAAAATAAATAAATAAAAGGATAAAAAAAGCTAAAAAATTCTTAAAAAAAAAAAAAGCTGAACTTCACTGGACATGCAATAAATGTCTTAATTGAATGCTATAGCCACCATAAAAAATAGCTTATTTAACATAAAAGAAACTAACCAATATTTTGAAAAGATTGGTAAGCCATAAAATTTTTAGAGTAAATAATTTCTATAATTTGTATTCTCTACCTTGTCAATTTCCTCTCACTGAGTTCAAGAAAGCAAGACCCTAATGATATTCCAGATCATTTGAATTTTCTTATGCTGTGTTCAAGGACATCTAAATTCTATAGCAAAATATTTAAAATATTTACTTTCTCATTAGTGTCTTATTTTTTAAACCTCTCCAGTGAGGAAGAATTCAGTAATATGCCAAATTCACTTTTCTCAAATACTCTCATTTGTTCTCAGCCCCTCCCTCCAAACAATTACCATATTATATTGATTTAAAGATATATATTTTTTATCCTTTAACATTTCTAAACTTAAGATACTTCTTTCATTTCATGAATTTTAAATTTGATGAAATATACCAACAATATGATTAAGTAAAAGAATGTATGAAAAATTGGCATGGGTTTTTTCATATTTGCTTTGGAAGTTTTAACCTTTATTTCTTAAACTTAAAATTTTTTAAAAAGAATCATTTATTTAATTTTATTTATTATTGTTATTATTATTTTTAAATTTACAACAGGGCTCACATGCTCACTAGAGAGAGACAGAAAGAGAGAGAGGGGGAAAGTGAAAAAGCAAGCTACTGGGTCCGGGGACCAAACTGGGATCAGCCATGTAGGAGTCTAGTGTTTTTTTCTTTTTCTTTTTTGAGAGGTTTTCACTATAGGGCGCATGCGCTCGCCAGACAGACAGAGACACAGAGACAGAAAGCGAGAAATCACCCCCCAGGGGGGATGGCCACGCCACAATCCCTTCTCCTCCATTCTCCTCTTGGGATCTTGGGCTCACACGCACACGTGCCCGGCGTGAGTTTAAGCCACCGGGTCCGGGACTCTAACCGTGGTTGACTATGTGGGAGTCCAGCAACATAGTCATCACCCTAGGAGTCTAGTGTTTTAACCACCACACTACCTGCTGGCCCAAACATTAAATTTTCAAACTTTTAAGTTTTATAGCTTTTATATATCTTTCTTTGTACTTTTTAAGCTTTTTATTGGGCTTCCTTTTGATAGACTCTGATAATAAGGCTGAGGTTTGTATAGTTTTAGACTGTGAAGTGCTTTTGTTCAGTCACCCTATCATAATTGTCATAGTTGCTCTATTTGGTATTTATAACAGTCCAATGGTCCTACTTGTAGTGTCTGTGCTCATGAGACTTAAAGATGTTCACCACAAAAGGATATATGAAGATTCTTAATGAGGCTGGCCCTATTAACGAAAACATTTGATATACTGAAGAGGCTCAATGCATGGTGTTTTAAATTGACAGTGATATTTAGGCAACCATATGGGCCCAAAGAAAGAAAAGTAAAATTGAGCAATAGATGTATCTATAATGAGATCATAAAGAAAAAGCTCTAAACCATTTATCCAGGATATTTTGACTATGAGTTTTTTTGTTTCTCTAATCTTTTCATAAGATTGCTTACTGGGCAGGTTAGAAAAAAGAGGAAAACAGACTTACAAAGCTGAACTAACACAAGTGATATTTTTAATAGAATGGAAGATAACGGTAGTCATAAAGAAATGGATGTTTGTGTTCCTAGGGCAATAGTGTTTTGAGAATTGTTTTTGTTATTAGGTATCTTTCTAGATCCTGCTGTTGATCGAGTGACATATTCCAACAAATGACACTGTAGAATGTTAGTTTTGGATGGAGTTTTAATAAAATAGCAGCTGACCAGTTTTACTGATAAGTTTTCATATTTTGTTTTCAAATGAATACAGTAGCAAAAATAATAGGCTCCCTTATAACCTTTGAGGATGACTGAGTAGATGAAAAACCCTAAACATAAAGCACTAAAAATTTTGTAAGTTCATTTTGAACTTAATTTCTAAAATCACATTTTTATTTCTAAACCTTGAAACTTTTTTGTTCATAGCTTGTAAGTTTTAAGTAGAAATAGATTTTAAAGCTTCATGAATACTGAGTTAATAACAAACTTTAAAAGCATGCTTTTTAGGGTGTTCTTTGTTTCTACATGAATTTTAAAAGTGATTTGAAATATATTAAAATTATGAAACTTATAATAGTGGATTTTAAAGGGCAATTAAATATATCACATTTACTCTTTCTTCAGTGCCAAAATAGTGGTTCATCTTCATCCAGCTCCTCCTAACAAAGAACCTGGCCCATTCCAGAGTAGTAAGAACTCCTACATCAAACTCTCCTTCAAAGAACATGGCCAGATTGAAGTAAGTTTCCGTATTAATAAAAGTGGACTAGGAAAATATGTGCCTGTGTGTGTGCATTTTTGTTGTGGTTTGTTAATATGATGGAAGGTAATATAATACAACATACCAAGTTTCACTCTATTTTTACAAAAAGTTTTTATTATATCATGATCCTTACCCAGAGAGTGGGGAGTGTGAGTCTAGGTTTTAGTGGAAGTGGAAAACAGAAGATGTGGTCACAAGGAGGGAGCAGAGGCTAAAAATAAACTAAGTCATTCCATTTGGACTACTAGTAAAGTTTTCAATGGTCTAGTTTGGTTAAAAGAACAGAGTATAAATGCAATGAAATGTTAAATTACCGCAGCATCTAAAAACTCACCAGCCTTAAACAGGCAGTCAATCTTGATGAACTCTGTACAGATCTGATCACTTAAGTACATATTCTGCAGTGTAAAAGTTTGTATGTTCTGATTAAGTTGCTGTATAAGTATTAGACATTTACAAGTATCTCTTCATCCCCCCCATCAGAATTAAAGATAATGCTTTTTTTCTATAGTGTCTTACCCAATGCTCCTCACACAGTAATTACTAAGCAAATATAAATGACTTACTGAAGTTATTCTTGCCATAGTTGAAAAACATAATTGTTTTTTTTTTTTGTGTTTGTGTGTGTGTGTGTGTGTGTGTGTGAGCATAGGTATGCTTTGACCTTAATTTTTGGTTTCAAAAATTTTACTAAACAAATTATTCTCTACTTCCTTCATGGAAAATAATTGTATGTTTTCCTGGCACTGATTTTGTTTCAGTATAGATTGAAAACAATTCACATATGTGGGATTGTTTAAAGTAAGTCTACTTATTTCATTGTCACTCATCTCTTTGTTGAAAATAGCCCACTTTATGTAGAAGGTCAGTTCCTTCTTTGTTCTTTCTTTTTTTTGGTGCTTTCTGAAGTTGATCCAAGAAAAGGACTTCCTTTGACTTACTTTGATGTCTCTGAGAATTCTGCATTTGTTATTCTAGTCTTTATGCTAGAGTGATGTTAAGTAATGCTTTGTATGAGGATGCCACAACCTGACTAGTTCATTTAAAGTGTATGTATGTGTAACAGTTTTACAGGCGTTTATCCGAGGAAATGACACAGAGAAGATGGGAGAATATGCCAGTTTCCCAGTCTTTACAAACAAATAAAGGATCCCAGGTATTTTAAAAATTGTTTGCTAAATCTACTTTTTTTCAGCTTACTTTAGATCTTGATGAAGAAAAAGACTCTGATTATAGAACTTGCCAAAAGCAGAGTAAGGTGTTTTGATAAAAATTTTATATCCATAGCATCTATATTAGTGCTTTATAGCTAGAAGATACCTAGTAAATATAAATGACTGATTTGATTATCAGAGGAGTATTCTGGGTGGTAGAAGTTGCAGAGTACACTCATTGATTTCTGTTCTTCATAATTAGTATGGCATTGGAGAGAATAGATGGTATAGCTGGGTGACATTTTACAGGCCAGTCGAAATTAATCACCAACTATAGACAGGCCCTCAAATGTGTGAAAGTAGATTGTAGTAACGGTCAAGTACCAACATTTTAATTATTAACCGTTTGTATATTTGAGACTCTAGAAAATATCTAATACATAACAGCTTGCCAAAGAACAAAAATGAATAGGAAACTCAATTTATATCTAAGATATAGAGTAAAATATACCATTTATTGTATATTTGGGTTTTTTAAAATGGTTTAAAGATCATTATATATGGAAATAAACAAATGTTTTGGAAGGAACTAGCTATTATTATGCGCTGTTTTTCTTTGGTTCTTTGAGGGTTCCTTCCCACCATTGAAAACACAATGTGGTGGGTTACAAAGACTTTGCTTCCTTCCTATTTTGTATGTTTTACATTCTACCTTTTTTTTTTTTTCCCTCAGCCAGGAAGAATAAGGGCTGTAGGAATTGTAGGTATTGAAAGGAAACTAGAAGAAAAGAGAAAAGAAACTGACAAAAACATTTCTGAGGTAATTCTTAAAAAACTCTGGTCTGTCATCTTTTTCAGCCATCTATGTATATTCTTTTGGGTATAGTTATAACCAATTCTCTTCTGTAACTTGGAATGTGTTTAGTTTTCCTGAAGCTACATAGTCTCTTATTTCCTGTAATAGGTCTTTCTCAGGTTGACATAATTTAATCAAGACATGTTTTAAAAACTTTTTCTAAAAAGTAATGAAAAAGAAGCATGCATTTGTTTTCTGTGACAAAACATCATAGAATTTTATTTATTTTTAAAAGAATTATTTATTTAACTTTTTATTTATTCATTCTTTTATTTTAATTTGACCAGACGAGAGAGAGAGATTGAGAGAGAGAGAGAAAGGGAGAAAGCAAGGCATCAGGTCCAGGACTCAAACTGCAGTCAGCCATATTGGAGTATCTAGCACCTTAATTACCACGCCACCCGCTGGTCCCTGAATTTTCTTTATTAATTTTAAAGTCTAGATGGAATAGATCAGAGGATACTCCTAATGAGTTCAAGACTCTTTGTATAATTATTTAGGAGTTTGGTTAACTTAATTTGAGAGAAGAATGGTTTTCTATGGCCACTGTCCCTGGCCAGACATTGCATAGTTTTATGCTGATGACCACTGAGGGACTAGACAGTAACATTGATCAAACTACTCAGCCCATCACTTCTACTGAGACAGCCCTGAACATGGGCATCACTGTTTCTGAAGCATCATCATGTGTGAGGAAATTCAAGTGCAGGGGAGAGAAAACCAGTCGTACATTAGATTCTGTAATTAGTCAGTACATCTACACATATCAGGATTTTTCTTTTTTTTTTTTAGAAGAAGTGGGCACATGAGGTCCAGTCATTTATTAGATAATTTATTCTTGGCCTCTAATTTTTTTCTCTTAAAAAATGTTTATCTACTTACTTTCTCCATGAGAGAGATAGAGAGAGCAAGAGAGAGGGTACTCTACTCCTAATAGGATTTACATCTTGTGATTCAGCCACAGCTCCAGCCAGACTGGATTACAGGCCCATGTGAATATACCCAGAGTGCTTAGGAAGGTCCCAGGATATGAACCCAGGCCCAGCCACCCACCACTGTGTCACCACCTGGCCCCTTGATTATTGTTATTATTATTTTCATTGTTGGAAGGTACATGTACTTATTAGAGAGGAACAGAGAAACAGAAAGAAGAAGAAGGAGGGAGCATACCCCTTTGCCACACAGCATGGTCATGCCACAATCCCTTCTTCATATTTCTCTCCTGTCCATGATTAATTTTTTTTTCCATCCAAAATACACTGTGCATTGGTTCAATCAAGCACATCAACATACATGTTCTCAGCAAATAATTTTCCAATTCTTACATCCTGCATACCTTGCCCTTTGTCTTGCCATCCCTGATTCCCCACCCCCCACCCTCTGCTATGTCCCATCTTCCTCCTCCATTGTCCCTGGCATCCATGGTTGCCCTCCATGCCTTCCGCCCCCGCCCCATTCATTTGTTCTGCTAATGAGCTTAATTAGTCTAAATATATCCAATAGTTAGCACAGCTGACATATACCTATACATGTACCCAAATCTGACCCTAGGCATAAACCCCAGTGAGTAGAATGAACATACTATAAAGTAGTACCCAGCTGTGCCCATACAGCTCGCTGCAGTCATCAAATGTGCATTTTTTTTTTCCTGCAACTTTTTTTTCTTTAATTATATTACCTAGCACTCATTCCCTGAGCATCATCACAACACACTAAATGTAGTTTCCCATCTAGGATAAACTGCATAGTGTCTTAATCAAGCATGTTAT